ACAGCTTGCGCACAGTGTGGCAGGATGGAGTTACCTTGACAGAACTCATGTTTATGTGCTTCATTTTGCATCTTTCATGAGATATACTCCTTTCTTTCCTTCCTCTCTTCATACATCCACTCTTTCAACGATTTACAAGTAGACCCTGCTGTCTTCAAGGCACTGTGGTAGACAATGGGCTGATATCAAACACCAGTAGATTCTTGAGCAGTATGTGCCCTGGAGGAATTCCTAAGAGAAAAGATGAGACCAGTGCCCCAATGAATCAACTTCAGAAATCCCCAACTCCAGGTAGGTACAAGTATTGTCAGGGCACTGCAAAGCAGGAGCAGCTGTCCATAGGAGAGTCAGGAAATGCATCAGCCGTGTAACATCTGATGGAACCTGTGCTGTGTCCTTGAGTCTCAGGCAGCTAAGACACCAGGGCATTGCAGGAAGAAAAAACAAGCCCAAGAGCAGGAGCAGTGATGAATGAGCACAGTATATCCAGAAAGGGTAAATTCAGGAATGGAAGAGTAGGAAAGATGAATGATTTGGTAATGATTAGTGCTGAAGTGAGAAGGTAAATTAGTAAAGGAACAAAAGAACAGCAACATACAGTGCTAAAGAATTCAGCTATTAACTGGAAGGCAGGATTTCCCAAACCTAATAATTTAAGTATCATTTCCACAATATGTTTGTTATGTCCAAGGTCTGTTTTTGTTATTTTTGCTTTACCTGTATACCGCTAATACTATTTTTAATACATTTTTCTAAAACACTTCACTTTTAAACATACCTATTACTAAAAGAAACTTTACTATTGTAAATAGAAACCATGTTACTTGCAATAAATTTAAAGTCATAATTAAAATGACTGTGACAGACATAAAACATTCTCATTAATTCTTTATGGAAGCTGCTGAGCCTGAGGCCTGCAATTTCATTTCCTAAAGGAAAATTCGAAGTTTTGAAGAGGAACTGAATTCCTTCTAGCACCAAACAGACTCCTTAAAAGAGTTAGGATGAAGAAAGGGAACTAGAAGGTGAACAGCATTCTTGCTGCATACATCAGGGGTACTTTGTATGGTTCCATTTAGAGACAGCAGGAATGTGCATGTAACACATAGGGAAATACAGTTAGGAAATACCAGGTCATCTGAGGTTTTGGGTGACTCAGGACTGGCTGGAAAGGGAGACCAATCCAAGCAGGGAAATTCTTGTGAAGGGTACAAGAGAGGGCCCAGTGTGGCCCAGTCAGTCCAGTGAGGGTGAAGAAAATCAAGGGACTTAAGCCAAAAGATGGTGTCTGGGGCATGTGAGGCAAGGGTAAGGGAAACGGATCATCAGTGCATTGGAGATTCATTACTTGAGAGACTGAATAAATAGTCATCCAGTTACCCAGGCCAGAGTCTAGAGGAAAATGTTTGGGGAAGAAGAAAGGGTGTGAGTGTATGTGTGTGTGTGTGTGTGTGTGTGTGTGTATAGGGAGGAAGCAGGCAAGGGTGCACAGGGATGAGACCTTGAGACCGGAATGTGCTGCCCTTTTTCAGCATTTGCACACCCTAGGCCCACATTAATGCTTATTGAAAATCACTTGTGGAGAGATGGTTTAGAAGGCAGTTGAAAATTCCTTGCCCACATTCAGAGGCATTTCAGATGGCAGCTAGATTAGAAGAGATTACTATAGCATGTGACTTGGCACTAAATACACACATCCAGGTACCTTCTAGCTATTTTAGAAAATTAGTGACATATTCAGGTAGACAGGTGTAAGACATTTTAGACATATGTTTTCTTCCATAACATGTTAAAAATTAACCCATCAACCAAAAAGTTGTTAAGAGCCTATTAGGTAAAGCAATTTCCTGGATGCTTTGAGGGACAGAGAGATAAATTAGACACAGATCCTATTCCCTGCAGCTTGTAAAAATCTAAGATAAAATTCTCAGATATTTAAATTTTATTAGTATATAAAAAATTTATTCATAATTTCAAAAAGCAAATTTAGCCTCAAAAATATTCTTAATAGCCATAATTACTCTGAAATTTGTTTTCAAGGATGATAAGAAATCTGTTCTAGTATTAGGGGAGAGAAATAATGCAACTAAAATTTTTGATATGCTCGAAGAATTGGAAGTAAAAATCTTACCAATTATTAGTAGCCCTTTCCCTTGTCGCGTGTTTAAAGACCCGTTTACCTAGCTTAGATAAATTAACTAATTGAATTTTGTCTTTTGTATGTACATAAAACTGCCTTTCTTACCCAAATATATGATACACCAATAAATTGGAGCATTTGCACTAATGCCTGTTAAATATAGCCATGTTTCATGACTGAATTTTTTTTCCTGGCAGTCAAGATACAGACCAGAAAGCACAGAATTCGTTCTACCTCCCCTAAAAGTCAGATTTGCATAAGAGAAAGGGCAGCAAGCCTCAATGTTGATACTGCATTTTCAGTTTCAAGACCTTTTTGTGGAAAGAAGTGTTTTCATAAGATTCAGACAGAATTCATTTCCACAGAGTGTTCTTAATGGCTCCTGTCAGAACAAAACAGCTGGGAAACATATGGTATCCATTTCCCTGTATCACTTGGAAAAAATTTCACATGTAAATAAAGCCAACATAAAAGAGTAGCCCTTTGAACCCATGACCTTATACAATACATAAATATATTGGTACAGTGCGCTCATTTTATTGACCTACTAAGTCATGTGGCTTTACATTTTTAAATATATTTTGAGATGCATATTTACAAGGTCCAAAGAAATCAAGATAATTTTCAAAATATTAGCAAATACCATGCCTAATAATAAGTATATATCTCACAAATGTCTTTTAATATATATTTTCCTACTATATTGAAAGTTTTTCAAAAGGATTATGAGTAAAAATAAAAGCATATTATACCTGATAAGTTCTATGTCTGCTATCTTCTGTTTTATATAAGTAAGTAACCATATGTTCTTAAGGAAGAGAGAAAGCCTTGGCATAAATTTCTGGCAAACATTAATTTCTTGTAGTTTTACATTTTTAGAGAGAAAAGGACATATAAAAGAAAACTTCTAAATTTATAGGAGACTAACTAGAAATCATCTTCGCCTTTATATTTACATGTCATAAATAACTTCAGAAAAACTGGCTCTTACTGGTGATTATCACTTCTCTGAGTTTAACAGGACTTTTGTCCCCTGTGAGATTAAGCTATAAATCCCTCAGGAGGGTGCACTGTGTGCATTTTTAAAGACTAGTGAATTGTCCAGGGTGAGATTCAAATTCACATACTTGCATCTGTTAATTGTCTGCTCTAGGCCAAGCACTGTATCCAACCAAGAGCTCAAACCAAGAAAAGGAGAGACAAACGCAGTCTAAAGCCATCTGTCTAGAAACCACCCTTCCCTTCTGGACACCGTTACACATTACTTACTGGAGAAAAACCAGTTCTTCCTTCATATCTCCTCTTAGTTTCTTCTTCAGTTCTTGAATGCCAGAGCCAGAAAAGAGTGCACTGCAAATTGTAGATTATCTGAAGTGGCATCCAGATTGTCACTTTCAGGAACAAAACTCACTTATATAGCAGTGGGGCTCAGAACCCCCACTCTTACCCCTTTGTCCGGCCCAGGGACTGTCATTACAGTTACAGACCTGAGAGTACACACAAGCAAAGAACACACAAGCTTAAGTTCTTCACCTGCAGTTGTCCAGAGCAAGAGATAGACAGGTGGAGGGTGAGCCCTGAGATCCTCTTTGGTGGAGGAAGGTGTAAACTAACATCAGGAGAAGAGCAACCTATAGATGAGAGGCCTGCAAGGTTCCTGGGATGCTGAGCCATCCTTTGTCCAGTGGAGGAGTATCCCAGGGGAAGCAGCACCATCACACAGGAGGGTACGTGGCTCCTCAACCTCCCTGCCCCAGGAGGGGGGTCTCTGGTCGCCTCACAGGAAGCCTCCCTCAGAAGGTAGTGGTTCTTATCTTTCATCTCTAATGTATCTGATTGTTTTGCTCTACGCTCCATCTCAAGCAGACCCTATAATCTTTCCTTGAACTTTGCACAGAAATGAGAAAAATTTTTTCTGCCTACCCCATCCTCTCTATAAATTTCTCATCCTCCTATTTGTTTTCCAGCTTTTCTGACGATGTCAGGCAGCATAAAATCTTTAAAAGCATGCCCTTGGGGCTGGGGATTTAGCTCAGCGGCAAAAGCACCTGCCTGGCATGCGCAAGGTCGTGAGTTCGGTTCCTGGTACCGGAGAAAAACAAAAAAACAAACAAACAAAAAAAATAAAAGCATGCCCTGTTGTGAGATATGAGTGTACCATTTTGTCATGTTGGATGCCAGAGGGCTCTGTGAGGTGCTCTTCTCTTGGGGTTGACTGGAATGCAGTGTCTAGGCTGGGGTTGATCTCCATCATGACTTGTCTCTCCTGGTCCACTCAACTCCTGACCACTTCATTCCTTTCTATTTTTTCCTTAACCACCAAATAGAGAGCTGCTGAGTCACCCGATAGGTCACAGTTTGAGTTTGTGTAACATTAAATAACTTACCCTTTCTTTGTATGGGGCTGTTAAGCATAGAGGTGTGTGTGGGTTTACATGACCATGTTTGTGCATATATATGCATATATCCCTTTCCTCTGTAAGTTAATTGAGAAGTTTAATACAGCATTCTATCCTCTAGTCCTGTTTTTTCAGGATAGTAGCAAATATTAAAATACTGCCAGGAATATAGATCTATCCAGTGAGTAAATCTCAGCATCTGAGTTTGTTTTCTCTAGCACTCTTTTTTACCATTACTGCTACTTTAATTTGTAGTCTGTATATCATGACTTGACTTTAACATTCGCTGTTTTTGTAGTAAGTATGAATCCCTTATGCTATGGACATGTATCCCTTTTAAGACCTCCCCTTGCACAGGGTCTTAATTTGAGCATAACTTGAGTGGATCGTGTGTGCCTGCGTGCGCAGGATGTGTTCAGCATTCCAATTTAACAGTCTCCTCTTTCACCTTTTTTAAAAAGCAGTTTCTAGCTCTGGCTGGAATTGTGGCATCTCAGCTCTCATTACAAACACACAGAAGCCCACGGGAATTGCTGATGTATACAGTAAGTTTCGCCCAGTGAAACGGGTTTCCCCCCTGAAGCATCAGCCAGAGACTCTGGAGAATAATGAAAGTGATGAGCAAAAGAACCGTAAGGTGGAGCACCAGAAAGGGGGTGAGTCTGACCAGGGCCCCCAGGCCGAGGAGTTTGGCCCGGAACACGGAGGGGGCAGCGTGCCAGGGAAGAGCTCTGAGCCCCTTGCTGCTCTGGGCGAGCTGGAACATTATGACCTCGACATGGATGAGATTCTGGATGTGCCTTACATTAAATCCAGTCAACAGCTTGCCTCTTTTACCAAGGTAACTTCAGAGAAAAGAATTTTGGGTTTATGCACAACCCTCAATGGCCTTTCTGTCAAAGCCTGCTCTCCAGGAAGCACTGAGAACCCTCCTTCCAGCCTGACACCCTTTTGTGTTCTTTCTCCTGTGAAAAGCCCTCACTTGAGAAAAGCATCAGCTGTCCTCCGGGACTCACACAAGCTGTCCACTGAAGAGTCTGAGAGTTCACCTCCTCCTGTTAAGTGTGGCTCTGCGTACGAGCCTGAAAACCACAATAAAGACTTCCTAAGCAAGGCCTTTGGTGATCCACATAACCGAAAAGTCGAGAAGACAGCACCTGACTGCCACCTCAAGACCTTCCACACACAGTCCTCAACCACAGAGTCCACACTGGGGGAGCAGGTCAATGGCATGGTCTGGACCAGCTCTCAAGGCCCGGAAGAAAAGAATGAGTATTTGAAAAAAGTAAAAAGCATTTTGAACATCGTTAAAGAAGGACAGATATCTCTCTTGGTGAGTGTGCTCTAGTTCGGGATATGTATTAGTCATCTAAAGACTCCATTTTTATCAGCTTCATTCCTAGAACAAAGGTGCACTTGTTATGTCTATTGCTTAATCTTTACTTACGGCTTTAGGTGGGATATGTGACCTTTTCATCTTTAAAACAAAAAATCAGGAGATTAATACAGGAAAAGCAGATGGCCATAGGAGGAGTTGGGATGTTAATACAGCTAAAACAAATGGCCATAGAAGTTGTGTTAGTTCATTTTAACTTTGCATGAATTCAACCAGAATAAAGACATTTAATCTAAAACTGAAACACAAAAAAGGGAAGCTATTGAGTGTTAATAGCACTCTTCCTGCTTTTCAGATGGCTTGTAGTGTTTTTGCTTACTTATTTGCTGGGTGTCAGTTCTTTGTTGATGACACACCCTTCCAGATAGGTGCACAGAGAGTTTTCTGTTTATCCTGACCATTATTCAGAAAAGTTGGGCCAGAATATTTGAAAAGTATTTGCAAATAGAAGCTTACCCTAGAGCTTGACTGCCCTGTGACCCACGTGGAGTTTTACTTAGTTCCAGCTCTACATGTGTAAAGAGCATGAAGCAGCATTTCAAAGCCCTGGACACAGAGTAACATGATGATGTAAGAAAAGTCTGCTCTGCTTAGGCACATAAAGCACTTTACCAAAATAGCCCTCCATCTGCCTGCATTGTTATTTTCTGGCTTCTAGACATGAATGAAACAGTAACATGCCTGGGCTCATACTATGAGACTAATTAAACTCTCATTCAAGAAAGTCATTGCCTGTCGGCAGTGTGACTGCACTTAGTGAGAAGCCACCATAGATAAGGTGCAGCACTCTTCACCGGATGGTCACAATATCGCTATAACAGGACAATGTGTTCAAACAGTTTTACCAAATATAAGTAGTAGATTTGTCCCTGAAAACGTCTTTTCCATGTTTTCCTTGTTCTTCTGATTCTGTTTGCTTGTTCTTTTCTTCCATCCTTGCCATGTGTTTGTATATCCTACATGCTAATGCTGCTGGCTTCACCCACCAGACTCAGTGCTTCATCTTCCGGGACTGCATTTCACTGGAAGTGAGAAGACACGAAGCCAAGTAGCCTCCAGGTGTCCCCAGGAGTTGTTGGGGTGACAGTGTCTAGATAGCTAGGAGCACACTGTAGCTACAGTCATGCACTTTATAGTCAAAACCAACTCTTGATAGTCCTGTACCAAGTAAGCAGATCCAAACAAGTATCTGCAAACCTACCACAGGAAGTAAAACAAACCTGGCCCTCAAGGACTTAGCAGTCAGGTGGAGGGGTCAGTGCCGTGTCACTGCAGTGTAGAAAGCCAATCGGTCCCAGCCTCGCTGCTCACAGAGAGAGCAGCCCCTTGAGAAATTGTGACCTAAAGCATATGGTAACATAGAATTACAGAACAGGGCATGGACTTACTGCATTCCCTCACTGCCACCAGAGCTTCTGTGAGCACATTTCTTCTTCCTGCTGCCCAGAGCAAACCCCCTGCAGTGTCTTGTTGTGATTTTCTACTTAAATTTTCTGGTCTGACTGTTCATACAGCCACACCTAGCTGCAGACAATCTAGACAAAATTCATGATGAAAATGGAAACAACCTGCTGCACATCGCCGCATCACAAGGGCACGCAGAGTGTCTGCAGCACCTCACCTCTCTGATGGGGGAGGACTGTCTCAACGAGCGCAACGCAGAGAAGCTGACCCCAGCAGGCCTGGCCATCAAGGTGACTCACTGGGGCCAGCATTACATTTCTGTTCTTTAAGATTGCTTGTGAGCTGAAGTGTTGGAAAGGAGATATAGTAGAGTGATTTATCAAGCAAACAGCAGGTGAACGTGTTACATATAAGAGATGAATCATTTCAGTCTAACTGCTTTGAGATTTTCAGACTGCATTCAAATTTATTGTCCAGTGAGAGTGAGCTCAAAGCAGCCAACAGCAAGAGAGGAAAATGACATGTTGCAGTGCTGTTACTCATCACTGCGGTTTAAGTGATTATTTAGAGACAGTATCACCTTTTTCCTAACATGAGAATAATGAGTAAGACAAATGAGAACAAAGTGTGTTTTAGGGGATGGTAGCATGTGGGAGTATTTCAGATAATAAAGCGGGCTTTTAGTGGATCAGGATTGAAGTTTAAGTGCCTTTAGAAGCGCTGTTTAGAATATCAGTGTGGATCTCGCATTTAGCTCTTGCAGAGAACCATGTGCTGTCAAAACTGCACAACTTAATGCAAACTGCACTTACAGCGTGGCGCTGAATTTCTCTTTAAAATGTAGTGTAGCACGGCACTTAATTCCTCTCTAAAATGTGTAACACTGGAAGATTAGGTGGTAACCCAAAATTACTTTAAGATCTTTGGAAAATAAATGTAAAATGTCATGTTAATTAAAAAGCCAAAGCAATGTTTGGGGAAAAGCAGTGCATCTTGCACTTCTGCATATGTACTTGGCTTTGCATAATAGTTGTATCTTCCAAAAGCTGAATATTTGTAATTTTTTATAAATGGACTTATATTGGTAGTGACTAGCGGAATTTGCTAAAGAAACCAACTGTGAATTCACAGAACATGTTACATTCAAAAAATAATTAGTTATTGTTTTTAATATATGTTTTATGCAAAGGTGAATTCGTATATCTTTATTTGCTATTCAGTGAGATTTCATGTATTAAAAACCTAATTCTATCTTATTTAATTTTGCTCAGTAGTAAAGTATGTCTTCAAAACTAGTATGGAAAGTATTCCTCTTATAAAATAAGAAATCTGTGATCCTGGTGCATATTATTTTCCTCTGGTCATGAACGGTGTTATGTCATATTAAGAGCTGAACTGCAGCAATGACCATGAAGAAAGAGAAGTCAAATGTGAAGGGAAGGCTCAGTAGACTAAAGTTCAACAGTGTATACCAAATCCACCTGGTACTGTGTTAGGTGCTGGCAATAGACATTTGAGTAGGATGCAGTCCCTTTTCTTAAGGAGCTCATAGCTTGTGGAAAAGACAGAGCTGTTTCCAGTAGTCCCAGTGTAGGAAGAATAGACTCAGACTCGGGATCTAGTTCCATGACAGAGTCCTGTGGGAAGATGGGTAGGGTGTGGTCATCACTGAACATATATGAGTGACAAATGAAATATTCTTACAGTGTCAGTGAATGTGACATTTGCATTGGTATTTTATTTGATATTTGTATTATAAAATACAGTTCACACTGGTTTTTGTGACTAATGGTAGATTGACTGTCTCCTTACTGTATAGTAGCTGAAAGTAGTTGAAAGCATTTTTTCTTCATATATGCCCTAGCCAGTGCCTGTTTTGCTAGATTAAAAATCTTTGAGTAGGAGGTACATAAACATAATGACCATTAAGCCAACCCTCAGAATAACACATTTTACTCCATGTAGATATTAATTTAGACCAAAATTTCTACAGTCAACTGTATTGCCCCCAAATCAGAAGTCTGCAAGTTTGAATATCATTTTTAAGAAGTTGTTTGAATGAAAAGTGTATATCAAACCCATAAGACTTGAAACTTTTGCAGATTTGTGATCCTAGGCCTCTCCTACTTTACTTCTGAATAATAATTTACGAAAAAGAAGAGTCCCTCTGTTCCATTATTTAATCTAGAATTTGTAAAAAGTAGTAAGTACAAATATTTTGTAACAAGTGCCACTCCCTTTAGAAATCTGATCCATAGCATTTTGGTACATTCAGTGTATTTTGACAGAAACTGAGAAGCTGAAAGCGTTCTGAGGAGGTGTCATTCTTCCATCTTAAGACCTTGTTTTGAACACTAGTAACCAACTAGTGGTGGTTCGCCACGTTAAACAGTGTTCCAAGAGCCCTAGTGTTATTAAAGACAAACACACTTAGTCAAACATGAAAAGGTTGCTGGGATAGGATGACTTGGCTGAGAGGAAACAATCAGAGCTCAGGTATTGCATAAGATTACCTGAGAAAAGGAGCTGTAACATCGTATCAGGGCTTACATCTCTCCCCCACTCGTAAACTCTTTAAGTGGAACACAATAAATAGTGTCAGTTAGGTGCAGAATTTATTATATATTTTCTAGGGACTCAGCAATAGATACTTTGGGAGTTCAAAATGTTATTGAGCATCTTTTGTAAATGGTTAAGCAAACAAATTGAAAAGAAACATTCCTAAAATACTTGCTTTCTAAAGCAGTCTGTTTTCCAAAATGAGATTAGCAGAAGAAATTATTTTAGTAGCTAAACAGACTTGGAATGAAATAACTTTAATTTCTTTTTCATTTCTCATTCTGGTATTTTTTTTATTGGCACAATAGTTTTAATATGACCACCAATCTTCACAAATAATTTTAATGCTTTGTGCCTGAGCTAGCAGCATCTTGCATTGTGACGTTCCTGTACATACACAAGCATTGACCCAAGTACAAATATTAAAAGTAGAGTAACATAAGCAATTGCCTATACAAAGGTAAAGATACAGTGTACATTATTCTCTTCTTGAGTCATTTCGTTTCATAGTAAATTGCAATTACATGTCAGTATAATGCTACTGATCAATAGAATACACTTTGAACTGTGAAGTATGGCAACTCTCTACTGAGAAGAGAGCTTACATGTAAACCTGAATTTAACATGTATTTAACATGTAAAACATTTTGAGTGATTTTTTTTGTTGTGTTGCTGCTATGGATAAGAAGGACAAAGGAAATCTAGCATCCAAAGACCCTAAAAACTTACATTTCTAGTGAACAAAAAATTAGTAACTCTTACCTATTTATTATTAGAGCATTATTAATGGAAAAAGATAAATACTGAAGTGAAGTGTTTTGTTATGAGATTATGGATTAAACCAATTATCTAAAGAAATCTACCACGTAACTGTACATTTACTTTACATCAAGTTGAGCCCCTGATATATACATCTCAACTTTATAATTCAAGATTGCAGTTAAATACTTCTAATCCACTTGAATCACCATGGCAATAAGACGATTAGAAACATTATATTTTCTCAAAAAGGACGTGCTTAATATTCTGTTGTTTGATTAAGCCCAAAGGCAAATGGTTGGTCAGATGATAACATGACTTCAAGCACATAAACTTAGTAATACTCCTTCTTAATATGTAATAAGTGAACCCATGACTATAGACTTTGGCAGGCAGACTCCTGCTAGAATTTAATCATTTCTCTTTGTGTGTTTTCTTGGTATTTATATTAATGGCAAGTGATACTGGTTTCATACTAGTAGGAGCAATATAATATTTCCTCTGTGTTGTTAACAGCATTTGAAGTATGGTCTCATTGAATAACTACATCTAACATTCTTCTGAAAGAATAACCAACAACTACAGAATATACATTTTCATCAAGTTCATATGGAACACTTTGAGGACAGATCTTGTGTTAGACTATGAAACAAATCTCAGTAAATTGGAAAGGATTGAAATAAAAATTTATGTCCTTCAGTAATAGTAGAATTAGAAAGCATTAAGAGAAAGAGATTTAGATTACTCACAGTATGTGAAATTAACACTCTCTAACACAAATGTCAGTGAAAAAAATAAGACAGGAATTTAGAGAGTACTTGCAGATCATTAAAAATACAGGGTATCCACACTTACAGGGTGTGGCCAGAGCTGTACTTAGACGGGGAATCCTGTAGAAGGGAAAAGAGGGAGGACAAAGACATCAGATCAATAGCTAATCCCCCTTAGGAAAACGGGAAAGAAGACCAAATGGAATCCAAAGCAAACAGCAGGAAGGAAATACTAAAAATGGGAATGAAAATAAGTGAGATAGAGAATGACGAAAATAATAAAGAAGATCAACAAACGAAATCTGGTATTGAAAAGATAAGGAAAAAAATAAACTGACTTAGTTAGACTGAGCTGCATTCCCTTGAATTTCTTCTTTTCTTTTTTAAAATCTAGAATGGCCAGTTGGAGTGTGTGCGGTGGATGGTGAGTGAAACTGAAGCCATTGCAGAACTGAGTTGTTCTAAGGATTTCCCAAGCCTTATTCATTACGCAGGTTGCTATGGCCAGGTATGGGGTTTTTAAGTATTTTACCTGTGTGTGCCATATAATCTAGTCTTTTTATTATCAGTTCATCACAATGCAAATTTTTAAAAAATCGTTAAACAAATCCAAAATTTTATAAGCAGTGATATTCATCATAGCACATTTTAATGAAGAAATATTTTAAATGATCTAATTTATTTACTAAACAATAAAGCTACATTCAAGTGATGAAATTTTATTGGAAAATAGTCACTACACAATATTAATTAAAATATATAATACAAAACTATTTTTGTAATTGGCTAACAACCGAATTTAGAAAAATAGAGAAACAAAAAATAAGACTAGGAAAAACTAAGACACAACATGCTTACAGTCATTATCACTCAGGCTAGAATTACAAGAGGTTTCTGTGCATATATGTTTTTGAATTTTTTTACATTACATTTGATCTTCATCAAAAGGAAAAATATTTTATCAAACACAAAGTTAAAATCTTTACATTAAACAAGGAAGTTTCCCTCTGAAGATGAGCAAGCACATATACTCAATGCCTTTTAGTTACAACTAATTTTATATTAGAATATCCTAACAATAATTAATGTATGCAGATCATGGTCCAGTGTATGGAATAAAAAAGTCCCTGCTGTCCTTTGAAGAGTATGAATGTAAATTTTCTTTTAAAAACATGGGAACCACAAAATGCCACTTTCAGCCTTAAAAAATAATAAAAACAGCACTGTATTAAAATAGATTTAATATTTGTTTGTGGCAAAGAAAATTATTTCTCATGCGCATAACCATATCAACTTTGGCTTCATAAACTTTCCCAGTGACAGTAAATTGTATTACTGTTAAAAAGAGATTATGCTTTTTCAAGCTTGACAATCTCAAATTCAAAAAATTGGCTGAAGAACATTACCAGGTCTGTCTCATGGGAGTCATCCTGTGCTGGAGTAACTTCAGTTAACATAGATGAAAGTATACATCTTAAAAAGGGTAAACTACACATACACACACGCTCCAAATGTGTGTCAGCAACACGTCATTGGATTTTGTGTACATTATTTGATCTTCAAAACAATCCTGTGAGAACGTGTTGATTTTAATCCCCTTCTCATGGATGTGGAGACTAGAGGAAGTTAAATGACTTAATGTGGTTAGTGGAAAAGACTAGATTTCTACTCAGGTCCTCTGACTTCCGGGCCAAATTCTGTTTTGTCCCCATCTGTTTATATAATTTGCACAAAGTGTTACAGTGGCGTTAGCTGAAGAAAATTTTGTCTAACAATACATAGTGCTATTCAGAGCACCTTACACATTTCACTGAAGTGAACAGTTAACTATGAAAATTCATGAAATGAAAAAAGGAGAAGGAACATTCAAAACTCATTAAGCCACTGTTTCTGAAATATTACAGTTACCATATTTTCTTTGTGTATTGTACTTAGTCTCCATCCTGTGTCCTAAAAACAGCCAATAATTGTTAATAGGTATTTGCTAATGATACACTTTTTTGCTTAGACTGGCAAAGGGAAAATAAAAATTTCAAAGGATCAGAAGAATTTGATCACTCTTAATTTTTGTAATTTATTTGTAGTATAAGACAGAATTTTATTAAGTTGTATAAATAGCAATCTCATGACCTTATCTTTATTTGCTTATTTAAAGCCTAACAAGGACTTCTAGAGATATTGGTGGAAAAGCTGCCTGAACTTGTAAGAGAGTCTGAAAGGAGACGTGTAAGGGATTGCAGGGCCATTTGGAGACTCTTAAGTAAATTGTTCAGCATTTGGTATTCTTTTTCTTAAGCACTTGTATGTGCCAGTTTCTTCATTCAACTCTCACAGCAGTTTCTGGTAATTTTGAAGCTGTTGATCTAGAACAAAAAGTAGTGCCCCTTCTGGGACTGACTGGGTGATATTGGGGTTTACTTGACTGAACTAGAGGAAAATGTGGAAATTAGCAACCTATTTGAAGAGCTGGGTTGTTTCTTGCTAGTATCAATCTATAGGTTATTGCAAACTGATAAGCATTTTTATGACATAAAATTCAGCTTTGAGGGGAGCATTCCCCAACACTCTTAGGAGAGCATTCCTACCCAAGTGGAAAATGTAGAAGCCACCTTTGAGAATCCCATCCAGCCACCCTACATCTTATGTAACAGATAACCTGCAGAGATGCTGAACTTGGAACTATTACAAGGCTAATATTTTCACAAGGAACAATGTTATTGAACAGTTTTCTAATGGATTCAGCACATGCAAGTTTTCCTACATCAAGCACACACTTGAGCATGCCTTGGTTTTGTTTCTTCAGTAAATACCTCCAGCAAGGATAGTACTGAGCAAAATTCCTCTAGGTTTTGTTTAGTTGCCCTATGCCCCTGATATAGATTCTTCAAGAATGGGCTCCCAATTTGTGTCTATCTCTTGTCAAAATTACCTTTAAAGACTCCAGTACCACAGGGTAGCCAGCAGTTTTTAGTAGTCTCATGGAGTGATAGATCTTCCACTGATAGGAATTGATTTTCCTTTTCTTGACACTTGAAGTCTCGGAGGGTGCAATTATTTCATTGCCCGATTGTACCTAGTAGAATGAGCTGGAGGGAGGGCAAAGGTGAAAACCTCTGGGAGATTCGGAAATGCAGGGTGTTCTTGAATAGGCCTGCCTTGCCTCCCTTGAGAGGGATGTTGGGGCTCAGCAAGTGATACAGAGCCATGTTGATTCAAAGCCACTGCGCGTGTGACTTGGGCTGGTTTTTTTTAAGCACTGAGGTTCCAAGTGCTGGGCAGGCTTGTCTGTGAGCAGATCCTGTAGCAGTCACTGGGCTCTGTGTGGCTCACAGCAGCTCACCTACAACTCTTTTTGTTTCTGAATCATTCATGTGACTTTCAGTCAAGATATTCTTCCAGAGAAATAAACTACATCATTGCACTGCATGTTTACCTAATACACCTTTGCCTACACTGTTTATTTCTTTAAATGCTTCCTGATGGAGATTTTTTTAAGAATATTTTTTAATAAGAAAGTATTCTTTAATCTTTTTTCTTTTATTCATGTTATTTTTATTAGTATATACAAATTATACTGAATACGAGGCCTCACAGGACATTTTCATATATGCATATAATGTACTTCATCTTATCCACCCCCTCTGTTACCCTCCCTTACTCTCCTCTTCCCCTTGCCCTTATCTCACTGATACCCTAAAAGAGTACATTCTGAAAAAAAAGAAAAGCCTGAGCAGTTCCCATGAATGGTCATAAGCAGTGATAGGCAGGCTGGTAAGGATACTTCTAGAGGTATTGTTTTCCACTGCAATTTACTTTCAAAAGGAGAAGCATTCCCTCCTTGACTTTACTGTCTCACTGTCACAAGGCAAAAGGAAGTAAAAGATCTGAAAGTGCTGTGATTGCAGATGAAAGAAAAAAAAAAGAAAACTCTTAGCATGCACATTTGTATGCTCTCCAAGTACTGATCTTGAAAAGCACAGCAGACCCAGAGCTCTATGGACTCATAGACTGACAGGTAGCTAAAGTGATTCTTGAACCCAGGGCCACAGAGGGAGCATGTCATTTAGAGTCTGGCCTTTGAGGAGCCAAATTGTGTGAATACATACTCAGAAGACAGAAAACAGTCAGAAAACACTGGTCCCTATCTCGGTTTCCTGGATTTTAATCCTGGCCCTTCCAGCTACTAGCGGCCTTGGATGCATTTATTTAAAAAAGAAAGTGAAGAAGAGGCCCCTTGAACCTCAGTTTCTTCACTTACACAATAGAGGTAATAGAATCTTCCTCAGAGGGTTGTTGTTAGGACTGAGAAAAATCACACTGCCCAGCATCCTGCAGGCACTAGACAAACGGTGGCTATTATGATATTTTGATGCCTTCCAATTTATTGTTTATATTGCTGCCCATATTATTTACTTATGTCACCATAAGTAAAGAGAAACATGCAAAGAATTATTTAGGCCTTAACCTGTTTAATCAGTGTTTATATGCAGTGATTGTTTTTTTTACATCTTATCATCTCTGGATCTTACATTTATCTTACAATAAATTACATTATGAAATCATTGCTGGACTTTTTTACATTTTAACATCTCAAAAATTGGAATGAATCTTAAAATGGATGTAGTATTAAATTCAGTGATCTATGATTTCAGACAAACCTGACTGCTTCAGAACTTATGCTTATACCACAAACTATAGAGATTTTATTGATACCAGCAATGAAACTGTGACATGCCTTTCAATCAAATTTTTATTAGGATTTGTCCAGCAAATCTCATAAATTACGTGTATTAATTGCCTCTTTAAACAACTTGCATTGCCTTTGGGAACACATAAAATACAACACTAAAACAGGGCACCAGAAAATCCCCAGAAGAAGAAACTAGTACATGCAAGAAGTTTTCAGTCAGTAGATGCAAGCTGGTATGTAGATGGGTATATGTGGATGAGTGAAAGGTAAGTTAGAGAGACATTCTGGAATAAAACAGAAATAATACATAAGGGCTTCTCCATGCATGTGACTACATGGGAATTCTCTGAAAGCAATACTTACTGGGAAATGAAAATCTGAGTTAAAGTCTTCCTTTAATATCTCCACCTGGGAAGACGGGTAGGGACGAGAGGGAAAGAGGAAGGTACAGAGAGAGAACTTTCACTAAAGGGCTAAGGGAAGTGGAAGACACATTATATATGGATAGAGGCTTCCAGCTGGAGAATAACTAGCCACATGTGTTTGGTCCTCCTTATAAGGTATTTTTGTCAAATAAGTTACTGTTTATTTGTAGAACTGTGTGTTTCCACAGGCATGTTCTCCAGAATCAGTAGAATTTCTGAGATTGGATGCTAAATATGCTTTTACCAAAACTGAGGATACTGACCATCTTCACATCTATCTCAGAAATCCTAATGTGGGGTGTTAGAAGACCATGTGTATGCCAGCCTGTCCCTTTTGCTATTACTTCTCTGCACAGTATGATGGGAAGGCTATTTATTTCAGTATATTAGCCAACAGACCAATTGCTTATCTTCTTATGTAAGTAAATTATCCTACAGAAAACTAAATTTGAGATGTTGGGTAAACACCTGTTTTATCCTAAACAATCAAAGATGATTCTCCCCTTATATAAGTCTCACATATTGAATTGAGTAAGATCTCTAATTAGCATCATAAAGAAAAAAGACAGGATATTATAATAATACAGACTTATTCTAGCTTGGACAGCCCTCAGGAGCCAAGACAACTTTCTCATGACATACGTATACCTTGTGTCTTTTGTTCTCCCAGGGTCTAGGGCTGACCCCCAGATTTCAATAACAGTAAAATTCCTGGTATTACAAAGTGTGCTGTTCCACTTAAAAGTAATCCAGTATTTTTCCTCTACCCAATTGGAGAAGGTAAAGGAAGTAGCTTTACTTCAAGCTTATGAAAAGCTATGACCCCACCACTAAAAACCAACATACTGTATGTTAGTAAGGGTGTCTTTGTCCCAGTGGAGTAGATCTAACCACTACAATATTTGTGTCTGAAAAAATGAAAATTTACATGACAAGAAGTATGGGTAAAACATTTCTAAATATCTTGAACTCCTCTGAGTTTTACTTGCTAGAGCAAGCCCCTAGGAATCAGAGAACCCACAGTTGTACTCTCCCTCAGTTTTCAAGTTTATAAAATAAGGCTGTTTGAATTGGATAATTCCCTGAAATTCCTTCCAGTCTGCAGTTTTAAGAATGTGTGATTTAATATCATGAGGCAAGTCAAGTCACCATGAGCTTGTAAATGCCCCTTTGAAGAAGGTGTGATCCACGTGTGGTAGGGCCGTCTTTTTCACCAGTAGAGGCTAAACAGCCTGTCCTCATGTAGTTTTGATGTATCTTACCCATGGACTTCAAACCAATGGTTAACATAATCCAACAGGATTTTTATCCTGGGATACTTCCACTCTTTGAGATTTTTAGGGAGTTAGTATCACATGGTGCAATCATCTGTTTCCACTTAAAGGAAATGCAGTATTTTTCCTCTGCCTAATTGGAAAAGGTAAAGGAAGTAGCTTTACTTCAAGCTTGTGAAAACATTACCTGTTCTAGTTCAAGTATCAGCTCCAACCTTCTCCCAGAGAGAAAAAGAGGCTACAGATATCAGAATGTCTTTATCCAGCTTTCCACTCCCAGCCCTGGCCTCCAGCCTTTTTCCATCCCACTCTCTAAGGACCCGGGAGGATTTCGCATTCCACAAGGTCTGTCTGCTTTTGCAGCTAAGAGTCACCTTGCTCTCTCAGGTTCATGCTTGGGAGGTTCTAGGCATTTATTATGTTTCTGTGTTTTTGCTCTTTAGAAGTCTTCCTTCCTGCTTGCTCATTTGGAAAAAGTGTGGTACAAATATTCATTCTGTCCTTGATGTCTGATACCTTCATAAATAGTGCCCTGTTCCCAGCGTAAGGGGTGAAACATTAAAGGAGTTCACTGCTTTCATCCAACGTTCCTTTAGCAGATTAGTTGACATGTTCAGAAGATGAAGGCAAATTTAATCCAGAGAAGTATAAAGTTCACAACCAGTCCGAGCAAATAACTGGAAAAAAAAAATCCTTTAAAAGGCTAAGAAAAAAAATTTCAAGGCTATTTCAAACACATGATCATCTTTTTAAATGTCAAATTCCACTCGCTGAACCTCATGCTGTTGTTTTTACCACTCTTGTATTTTTCTAACTTTATATTTAATTATTCTATTTTAAAACAGTGAAATCCCATCCCCCTGCTTTCTTGAAAAGCCAAACATAACATGAAAATACCACAAAACATTAGGTGGGTAAAATGCAAACAGATTGTGATGAAACATGCTGTCTGGTTTATGACTTTTCCTTTGAAACACTTGTGTTCAGAGCTTTTGATTCCCTCTCTTAAACATGAAAGAAGAAAAGATTTCACGTTATAATGCTACCACCACTTGGTTGGAAAAAACAAAAGGCTCCTGGTTTTAGTTGAGTGAGTTTATCTTGTACTTGACAATATAAATATAAGTCTATTGATTGCAAAAGGTTAGGAGGTTTCAGAGTTATAAATGTTTCAGAATTACAAATTTAAAACTAGAAGTTACATCTCAGTAGTTTAAGGTTTTCTGGTAATATAATTGAAACCTATACACAGTTTAACACAGTAGTAAAAGCATTTTCTCAGGAGCCTTGGAATAAAAAAACCAAGATTCTGATTCCACCTTTGGATCTGCCTAGTTATAGGACACTGAGGAAATACTCATACTTCCTGTGAATCTGTTTTCCTCTGTAAGTGAATACAACAAAAGTATTTCCACTCAGACTTCTTTCATTCACTTCAGTTACATTCATGAATTTTCCGTTGCTGTTGAATGAGAAATTTCCTTTGATATAGTAATCTTGGTTTAACGTACTTTTCACAAGTTAGAGAGTAGTTTTCTGTTGTCTTTGTATTTGACATCTCTGCATGATATTGTATTAATTCCAAGTGTTCTTGTGTGTGTAGGAAAAGATTCTTTTGTGGCTTCTTCAGTTCATGCAAGAACAAGGCATCTCCCTGGATGAAGTAGACCAAGATGGCAACAGTGCTGTGCATGTAGCCTCACAGCAGGGGTACCTCGGGTGCATACAGGTACACAGCCCTGCAGCTCTGTGGGAAGTGAGGACTGTATCAAGTAATGAAATAAAAAATAAGCATTTGTTCATCAGGAGAATTCCTGGATTAAATCACCTTTTGTAACATAGTAGACATAAGAAATTTTAATGATATATTTGTATTTTTAAAAATCCACACAAATGTTGGCATATGTAGCCCTGAGAGTCTTTCCTTCAGTGTCAGAGGTGTGGAATGGGACTTTGCCTGCTCTTCCAACCTTATCCTAAAGCCCCAGTGCTGAGGACAAAAGTTGTGAAGTAGGCTGTCTTCTCAAGTCGGTATGGAAACCACCACCAGACCGACATTTTTCAGTCTCTCCAGGGTAGACTGTTGTTACCCTCATTAGTACATCTTTACCTCCCAGATGTATGAAAAATAAGACCGAATGGATCAGAAGAATTCTTCATAGTAGGTGTTGCTTCCCATCTTGTCTATGGTAGGTCTGAGCTTCTCAAATGCATCCAGGAAAGCCAAGCATTAGTTGGGGAAGAAGGTAAATCTTGCTGCCTTCGGGCCTTGAGCAAGTGAGGCAGGCCCTGTTTGGCCCGCCCTCCCACCCGGGAGCCCAGCATGCCTTCTCAGCATTCTCTTTTCTGTGGGTGCAGTCACTGCACCAGAGCTTGTGAGCTGTTCCCCAAGATCATGGGTTTCCTGCAGGAAGAGGAGACAGCATCTCATCTGTCACCCAGACACAGAGTTGCACAAGTCTGAACTAAACCTGGTGCCACCATCAGAATAGCACATGATGGGGGAGCCCAGCAATGGTCCCTAAAAGTTTAGGGATAGTGAACATGAATGCATTATCAACCCTTTCCCCTCAAAACATTGAAAACCCTCAAAGAGAGCAAAAAGAGAAGCAGAAGGGTCAGTCAGGCGCAGAGAGTCCAAACTAAACACTGAAGAATAGAAAATGAAGTCAGTTTAGGTTTGACCTGAAATTTTATTTTTGATAAAAATGTAGTTAACAGAATCAGGCCGATCAAAGCATTCTTGGTGAAAATGCCCCAACATTTATGGATTTGTTCCCACATCTCAGGGAAAAGAAAATTCACAGCATATGCTTGAAGGCTATTACTATAGAAGTACTTGTACCTCAGTGATGTCATGCAGTTCACATGCTTTGTGTGTATAACACATTTGCCGTCCCTACAAAGCAACACTGCTCTTGGCTTGTGTGTGTGGGTGCATGTGTGTGTTGTTTCCTTTGTTGCCAACCCAGTGTGCAGCAGGTACTGAGGTCCTACTGTGCACAAGGTAGACTATACCCACAACAGAAAACTACTCAATGAAAATTAGTTGTTTAGGGAGATAGGGAGCAATCAGGAAATAGAATATGTAAAAGACAAGATGTAAGTGCAGGGATAGCAACAGAAAGCTCTCTGTTCACTCAAAACTGCTCTTTAAGAGCTATCTCTGTAGGAAATAATTGGGAGTACATACATCTGAATGTTTTCCCTTTATGTTGGCAAAGCGTGCATCTTCTAATTTAAGGCACCAACTTTTAAAAGGAATGATAAGAAATTAGAAAATATAGAAAGGACAGACATTTAAATTCTTACCAAGATCCACAGAAAGATTAAAGGAGTAATAGTATTTTTTATGGAAGAATGATAATTAACACAGAAATTATAATTTTCCATTTACCAAACACCTCAATATTTGGTAATCTTGAAATAATAATCAGCTAATATGTGACTGAAAGCCAGAAAGACAGTTGATATCACTAAATCTATTTAAGATTTTAGTTATTTTCTTTTCTAATATGTGAAGAGTGGCAGTCTCTCCTTCCAGAGCATTCATCACTTGGCTTTACACAGATGATATTTTTGGCACTGGCTAACCCTAGGAAAGGGTCTATCCACTGGATGTGAGATTTAAAAAATGAGAATCAAAAGAGACTGAGAGTGAACAAGAGGCCTTATGAAGTGAGGAGGGTATGGAGTAAGGAAAACAGTGCAAAGAAAACTGGAGGGCAGCCTTAAGGGGAGCAGCACCAGTGTGTGTTCACACTGGTCTCTCCTAGCTCACAGCTCCCTGCTGACAGAGCCCCAGGCAACCCTGTGAGGGAGGTGGCGAGGTTGCATGATAAATGGACCTCTCCTGATGAGTGTTCCTAAACCAAAAAGATACTGAGCTCCCTAATGACCTCTGATCTACATAGTCTAAGAATTTAAATACAAGTATTATTTGTGGAAAAAAATCATTACTACCAAAATTAACCTCAGAGTACACAGTTTCATTATGATATTTCATCAGATTGTGGTTGATCAATAGTGATGTAAATAGCTTTTTGTGGAATCTTATGACATCTCATATAAACACAAAATAGTTTCATTGTTTTTAAACTATTGATTTCAGCCACCAATTTTCCATCAAATCTCCCTCTCCTCTACTTATGGCCAGATTCTATGACTTTGTACATGCCTTTGGCTACTAAAATTTACTCCAAAGCAATGTAAAATTTCAGTCTTATTTCTGGTCCAGAGCATTCTTCCCACCAACCACACCACCACACCGTACCCCAGGCGGGGACTTGGGGTAGGGAGTAAGCAGGACAGCTGTTACCACACAGCAGAGCTCCTGCTCGCCTCTGCTTTCTGGACTTCAATGGTGGAGCCAGAGAGAACACACTAAGAAATGCGTCAGGTGTCTCTTTGCTTAACAGGAAGTACCGCAGCGTCCCTGGAAGGTTCCACTGCTTCCTGGGGCTGCCTGTAGTCACTGACACTCTCTGTGGCATTCTTCAAGCACAGATTGTGGCAGCTGCTGAGGATGGGGCCTCCCCTTCATACCTCACATGGGTCCTTCTACCATAGAATTCCCGTAACCTGTAGTGTCTTCTGCTTCCATCTGTGGCTGGAGACCTTTCTCCTTTTGTGGGAACAGGGACACATCATTTACACCAGCTTCTCTTCTACAGAGTCTGCTCAGTCCACACACACCACCTTGCCACCGCACATGGTGGGCATGTTGATTGCTTCATAGCCACTCACTCCTTGCCTTGCCTTTTGCCTTCTGTCCATTTGATTCCTGATCAAGTAGACTCAGCATGCAATTAGCGACTATATTCCAGAGCCAGTCACCAGGGCCAAACAAATAGGTCCAGCTAAACACAGTTCCACCGCCCATCATATAGGCATCTCTGGTTTTATGGTGACGGTTCAGAGCCCAACCATGCATAGGGACAGAACGCCACAGAACTGAGCCACACACCTCAGAAAGGAAAGGACTTGGTGGAAGCAGCATTTGTCTTGTCCCAGGCACCGCCCTGTGTGGGCTGCAGGTGGGGACAGGCGGTAGTCAGACCACTCAGCCCGCCCTGGGCTGCAGGTGGGGACAGGCGGTAGTCAGACCACTCAGCTCCACCTTGTAGTCTCTGAAGGGAGGCGTCTGACATTGCTGGCACCTGCTTCCCACCCCATGGGCTCTGATGACTGCCTCTAGAATAACAAGAAAAGCCTCATTTACCCCTCTGTTACATTTCATTAAAAATGTAGTGGTTAGAGGGAGACCCTTGTGCAATCATATATCTCTGCACTTTCTGACAGACCTTGGTTGAGTATGGAGCGAACGTCACCATGCAGAACCATGTGGGGGAGAAGCCCTCCCAGAGCGCAGAGCGGCACGGGCACACCCTGTGCTCGCGGTACCTGGTGGTGGTGGAGACCTGCATGTCCCTGGCCTCACAGGTGGTGAAGCTGACCAAGCAGCTGAAGGAGTAAGTGGCCTGTTGGTTCTGTGCAAACAGACTCCAGCTGTCATTATTGTGCTGAGGTTTCAGCTCCAGGGCTTAGATAGGCTCCCTGCCTTCCAGGTATAGAGGGAATTCTAGCATTATCTTTTCCTCCATCTTAGCACTCAAGCCAGGGTTATGTTGAACTTGCCATCTCCGCAGAGACAAAATGATACTGTATTTTAAACCAGGTGCAGGGCCAGCTGCCTGGGCAGGGAATTTAAGCCTCCATGGGTCAGGAAGGAGCCTTTGTCTGTGTTCATGTCTTGGACCAGGGTACAGAGCAGAGCACGGAAGCACATTTAGGCATCATCTCTGATGTTCTGTCCTTAGTATTGTAGGAATCATAAAGCATGAGAGTTAACAATAGATTATAAATAGACCAGTTTCTCAGTTTTCCTAAAAAATACACTGTGTATTTGGGAAATTATAAACAACTTCAGTGCCAGGCATGGTGGCACATGCCTGTAATCCCAACACTCAAAAGGCTGAGGCAGGAGGATTGCTGTGAGTTCAAAGCCAGCCTGGGCTACATAGTAAGACCCTGTCTCAAAAAGAAAAAAAAAAAAAAACTTCATAACCATCAGCAGCAAATGTATTATAAAAGTTAAGCAGATGTTTCAGTAATCTTCAGAATACACAACAGTGTTCACTCTAACTGAAGTCAGTTATTGCCTTGATATGACTATTAAGCGGGAACACATTGCATATTTGGGTGGCAAGGAGGTATTTCTTGTTGCTTGTCAAGATACCTTTGAAGAAAAGAGGGCTGGGCGAGAGTCCATCAGGTGGGTTTCTAGCAAGCTGACAGACTAAAGAGCTAATGCTGAATGAGGGGACAAGGCCAGCTCCCGGACAGCACTAGTTACAGTTGACATACAGGTACAGGCTCCTGAAAACTGGAATCAGAGTCAAAGTAATGTGATTCTAAGTGATATTGAGCAATAGGAGGATAAACCTTCAAAGTGAAACTTTAGAGGGGTGATACAAAGTCTGTCCCATGTACATATATATATGTGTGTATGTGTGCTATATATTGCAGATGATTTATGAATATGTTTTATATAGTATAACATGTGTATATGTATATACACCATATATAAACAGAGTAATATATATTACATATAATATATTACTCCTGAGTACAGTACTCATTTGAAGAAAAGGCTGGGGTGGGCAAGAGGTCCTAGTTGACTATATGTTTACATCATGCAGAAATGTGACAAAGCCCGTGGCCCTCTTTCCCTTCTCTCAGCCTAGAGAAACTTCACTTACCTCTCTGTTTCCATTCTGTTGCCTTTGAGGTACAAGTGTCTGTGTCCCTCCCCAGCCAATACCTAAAATAATCTCTGTAACGAGTTTAGATATTTCCTAGTAAAGCCAGGCATGGTGGTGCATGCCTGTAATCCCAGCACTTAGGAGGCTGAGGCAGGAGGATTACTGTGAGTTGGAAGCCGCTCTGGGCTACATAGTGAGTTCAGGACAGTCTGAACTGCATAGTGAGACCCTGTCTCAATAAAAAAAAAAAATTTCCTAGTAAATACAATAAAATTTAAAATTGAAAAAACACATGTCTGTCTTTGAGTATGCTCTGCCCAGCTAAACAAAACTTTCTCAAGACAGGTGAACTGGTTGAGCCTAAAGGTCTCAATGTAGCTGAAGGGAAAATGTACAAAGAGTAATGACTCGCTAACTTAGCTTTCCATAGAAACATAATTCTGCACATGTCTTCATGTCCCTATTTTGGTATTCCTAAAGATAAGTTGCCATGTGAAGGAATTGCTAGAACAAAAGGCATACACATGGAAAATGTGAGCAGATATTACCTAATATATTTCCAAAAAAGCTCTTCCAACATCTACTCTGGTAGTATATGAACACATCCATAAGAACTGTGAAACATTCAAATTGAATGTTCTTCCCAAAAGTACATACTCAGAAAAGATCAAAAAACATTCTCCTCCCTCTCCAGTGGTAGACTGAGAAAGTTTCATGAGCTCCAATAGCGATTTAGTTGGTGAACTGTGCACAGCTGTGTCCTGGCCACTTTGTTAAGGGTAAAATATAAATATGCACTAATACACAGCAGTTGTCCATGTGCCTCCAAAGCTAAATGCTATGGACAGTTGTAGGGAAAGCAATAGCAAGATAAAATCTGAGAGGTACAGTAATCCTGTAGACCCTAATCTTTCACTTCCTTTAATCTCAGTGAAGTTGGCCAAACTGGAAATGAATGGAGAAATCTATTCAGTATAGCCACAGGACACTACCCTTCAGCCTGTTAGATAACCAGTGACATAGAAAGGTGCAGGCTTAGAAATTTTTTCCTAAGGATTTGAATCACTAGTCTGCAAAATTAGTAGCTTAAAAACAGCACAAATTTATCTTACACTTCTGCAGGTCAGAAAGCCAGGAGGAGTCTTGCCTGGCTAAAATCAAGGTGTGGGCAAGCTGCATCCTTTCTGGGCACTCTAGGGTGAGCCTGTGTCCTGTTGACCCAGGGTGTGGCAGGATCAGTTCCTTGCAGTTGTAGAATGTTAGGTCTCACGTTCCCACTGGCTGCCAGCTAGGGTTGGTCCCAGCTGCATTCTGTGGCTCACAGTTCCTCGCTTGCATCTTCAGCACCAGTGATGTCAGGGTTGATTCCTTCCCATATTCTTAAGCTCTTCTGCCAACTTTCCCACCTCCTCTTCTGCTGTTGCGGACTCATGTGATTGGTCCCATCTCAGTGAGCCAGGGTAACCTTTCTGTTTTAACATCAGTTGATACAGAATGTTCCTTCCCTTTTGTCTTGTGAGGTAACATAGTCATATCTCCTGGGAATAGGACACAGATAGAAATCTTTGGGGATGCCTCACTAATATGCCAGGTTCTATAAAAACTCCTTATTCCTGTACCGTAGAAATGAGTTTTATTTACTTATGTCAACCTCTATATTAATTGATAATGTGTTCTCTAAGTGGGTTGTACTTCTTGTAACCGGTGACTTCTGGACTATTTTCTTTTTTTTTTTGGTTTTTCTCCGGTACCGGGAACCGAACTCACGACCTTGCGCTTGCCAGGCAGGCGCTTTTGCCGCTGAGCTAAATCCCCAGCCCCTGGACTATTTTCTTAACTCTTAAAGAATATTCTGAGATGCATGCTCTTGTGCCCAGAGGAAATGCAGTGTGGCTATACATCATCCCCTGGTATATGAAAACAGTTATGTAACTGCTACTCAAAGTGGAAATAGTTTTCTTTTTTTTTTTTTTATTTTAGAAATAAAAGGAGGAAAATACTAACAGATCGACAACATTTTACAAAATAGCATAGGATCAGTACAGACATTACAGAGTTACAAACAGAGTGGTAGGGAATTAACAATGCTTATTGTATTACATATTGATATCTTCAATGTAGTTTCTCATGAAAACACATATAGACATACAAAGCTAATCAACCAGTGCCTCACTGACAGTTTCTTTCAGCAAGGAAATACAGAACAGTAGAACACCCGTGTTAACTATCCTGCATATACATATATATAAACTTTCTCCTTCTTTCCCTTCTCTTTTCCCATATCCCAGTTATCCTTTACCTATGAGTGCTTTCCTATCAATTCTCAATGTCTATCATATCTCCTAGATTAAATTAACTCTTTCAGGCTTTACACTAGAGAAACAATGCAGTGCTTGCACATGTATGTTTGATTTAGGAAATAGTTTTCTTGAGTTGTTCAGTTATCTTTTTCTGATCAGTATATGGATAAAAATACAAATTTAAACAATTTAGAGTAAATATCATTTTGATTATATCCTTCTAGATTTTGTTAAATTGATAGTTTCCTTAAAAATAAGATTGCACATAGTATTTGTAGTACTCTGTTTTAAGGCATATATATATATATATCACATATTGGGCAAACCTTTTGTATATCTGTGTATCTGTAAGTATTCTAGTACTTATCATTTATCATTTCCAATAGCTGCCATTGTAGGAATAATTATGTTATTTGTCAATCTTATTCATGAGCATTTAGACTACTCTGTTTTTCATTAATATGAACAAACGTCTTTTGGTACTTTTGACTCTTAGGAAAATTTCTAAACTTTCTAAATTTAGAAGAGAATTTCTAAATTCTCTTAGGGTAAAGATTATGCAGATTTTTAAAACTTTTAAATTCATTGCAATTTACACAAATTGTCACAAAAAAACAACTTTTACCTCCTAGATCTTATAGCAGTAGTCATATATCAGAGAGCACATGTTGGTTGTTTTCCTGCAGACAGACTATGGAGCGGGTGATGCTACAGAACCAACTCCAGCAACTCCTAGAGGCCCAGAAATCTGAGGGAAAGTCACTACCTTCTTCACCCAGGTAATACTAGGCACATTGGTATGAGGAGTTCTTAAGTATTTTAAATCACTGAGCCTTCTTCTGGATTTCCTTTTAATGACTTTTAAGAAAATGATGGTCAGACATGGATGCACATGTGTGTAGTCCCAGCTCTCTGGGAGGCTGAGGCAGGAAGATCACAAGTTTGACTCTAGCCTCTACAGTGTATCAATTTAAAAAGATTTTGTTTCAAAAAGACAGGGGAGGAGGCAGCCCAGTGCAAAAGCTCTGGGTTCAACCTCCAATACAGAAAGAAAAAAGAAAGAAAGGACAAGGAATAAAAAATAATCTATCACAGTGAAAAACTGTGGGTCAAAGACCTGGACTGATCTCCAGGTCTACTATTCCTTTGTTCCATGCCTATAAACAGATCACTTTCTTTTTCATTTCTTGACCTGTGAAATGAGAGTTAAGGATATTCAGCTCAATATGATTGTTAAAAATGGAATTATGAGAAAATTCATGTGAAACTGATGTGTAAACAGTAAACGGGCAAGTTTAGTAGTCATAGGGTGTGAGGCATACTATACTTTCACTGTGGTTGCTTCTGTGGTATACTTGCAAATTGCTATGAAAAGTGATTAAATGATTATTCTTAATTATTCTTAATTCTTAATGATTATTCTTTATTCTTAATTCTTAATGATTATTCTTAATTATTCTTAACTTAAATGATTATTCTTAATTAATGAAAGTGATTAAATGATTATTCTTAATTCCATTCTTTCTTATTTGTAAGTTTGTTTGTTTGTTTGAGACAGGGTCTTGCTGTGTACTTCAGGCTGGCCTTGAACTAACCTTGTAGCCCACAATGGCCTGAACTTGTAGCAATCCTCCTGCCTCAGCCTCCTAAGTGCTGGGATTAAGGGGGGGGGGTGTGCATCACCATACCCAGCTGTAAACTATTAGTGCTAATAAAAGCCACTTGTGTCTGGTTCAGCTTAGCCAAGTAAGAAATCATCTCATCTCCTTCATGCTTTTTCAGTTCACCTTCTTCACCAGCTTCCAGAAAGTCTCACTGGAGAGTTCCAGATGCAAGTGATGAGTCTGTAGCCAAAAGCAAACCAGGAGTCCAAGAAGGGATCCAAGTTCTTGGAAGCCTGTCAGCCTCCAGCCGGGTCAGAGCCAAAGCAAAAGATGAAGATTCTGATAAAATTTTACGCCAGTTATTGGGAAAAGAAATCTCAGAGAATGTCTGCACCCAGGAGAAGCTGACTTTGGAATTCCAGGATGCTCAGGCATGTTCTAGAAATTCGAAAAAGATCCCTCTGGAGAAGAGGGAATTGAAGTTAGCCAGGCTGAGGCAGCTGATGCAGAGGTCGCTGAGTGAGTCTGACACTGACTCCAACAACTCCGAGGACCCCAAGCACACACCAGTGAGAAAGGCTGACCGGCCCCGGCCGCAGCCCATCGTGGAGAGCCTGGAGAACATGGACAACACAGAAAGCTTACATCTGATGATAAAGAAACACTCCTTGGCATCAGGACGTAGGTTTCCGTTTAGTACCAAGGCCTCCAAATCCCTGGATGGCCATAGCCCATCTCCCACCTCAGAGAGCAGTGAGCCAGACTTGGAATCCCAGTGTCCAGGCTCAGGGAACACTCCTCCAAGCCAGCCCTCTGGAGACCCCATGCAGTTCAGCCCTGACAGCACCGCTGCCCAGAAAGTTGCCACAAGTCCCAAGAGTGCCCTCAAGTCCCCATCTTCCAAGCGCCGGACATCTCAGAACTTGAAACTTAGAGTTACCTTTGAGGAGCCGGTGGTGCAGATGGAACAAAGCAGCCCTGAACTAAATGGAGACAAGGACAAAGGCAGGACCCTCCCACGGAGCTCCACAAGTAGCGAACCTGGGGAACCACTGAAAAGACCTTTCGGAACCTTCCGGTCCATCATGGAAACACTAAGCGGCAACCAGAACAATAACAACAACTACCCAGCAGCCAGCCAGCCAAAGACTTCCACGCTGCCCTTGACCGCACTTGGAAAGAAGCTGGTGGACACCAAGGGAAATCCCACCAGCTCTGCTAGCAAAGGAAAGAATAAGGCCGTGAGTGCTGTTTGGAGAACATCCCTTTCCCCCTTAAGTTGACTAGGTTACCTAACCCTACAGACTGTTGACACCTTGAGGGAATTCCCACAGAAATCCCCAAAGGGTGGATTGAAAGCTAAATTCGTATATTTCTAATGAAATGTGTCCTGTTAGAGTACATACCCACTGCCCTTTCTTTGGGAAATACTCTGAGCCAGCTCCTCACCAGGGATTACATTCTCTCCCTTTTTCCCTCAATGACCTGATCTCTGGGTGCAAGAGCTCCAGGGCTGGGGCAGTTTCTACAAAATGAACCCACCAATTGGTGTACAATCCGCCCTTCGCTGGTACTGATTCTGCCTCAGGAAGCGTTTGTCCTCTTCATGTTCCTGGATAGTTTATTCTCAAGCCCAATTAAAAGGCACACAGGTAGAAACTCCATTTCTAAGAACATGTAGCTACTCAACTTTGGAGTGACCTTTGAAATGAAAATACCTCAGGGGCCTCCACATGAGCATCATGTAACACACTCCTGAGTGTCGACTGGAGGTTGTAGGAACCGGAAGTGCTTGCCCACACATAAGGGATGGCAGAATATGCCATCAGCTACATTTTATAATTACACTTACTGGAAACCCATGCACCGTGATGTCTATCTAGTGAATAAGAAATGTGAACATCTTTTTCAGCACCATCTTTTGCATGTTCCTGGCTTACCATGCCATCACAAAGCAGCATGGCAGCCAAAGTGCAAAGTTCTGGAAAGGAATGGCAGAGATCACCTACGTCCCATGAAAACAGACCTCCCAGTACAGTGTCAGAATCTTCATAACTTATTTATATTTATTATTATTTATTATGTTAAAATCCTATTATAGTGAAGTCTAAGAACCACCCCAGTTCTTTGTGCTGTCAAATCAATTTTTAATTAGTATCCCTTTAATTGCTAGAACACTAATTTTAAAATTATATATCAGTTCCATCTCTAAATTACCCTAGTTTTTAAAGCACTTCAGTATGTTTGTTTCATCTATAAAAGATATACTTGTTGCCAAGACACTAGGCTTTTAAATTAAATATTTCAGAACTTAAATTGTTCCAATAAAACTTTTCCAAGTAACTCAGTAGATTATATCAGTAGTGAAAGAATCATTTCCACAGTTTCCCTTGTTCCTTAAAGTGTATTCTAAGATGCTGTCATCTAATCTGTCTCCAGCATGCTTCATATTTATGGGGACTTGTGCATGTGCTGAGCTTGTTGCATGTTTTCAGATGATTTTTAATTGCACCTCTCTAGGAGATGTACAGCAGCTGCATCAGTCTTACCTCTAACACGCTGGTTGAAGAGCATCTGCATAATTATGCACGGTACGTGGTGCTGAGACGCGCTGTGCAGCATCTCCAGGCCTTTGCTTAGAACTGCATGAGCTTTTAAATAATGGACCTGAGGCACATGTGAGTGCGGGATGACAACAAGGAAGAAAAAGTCTACAAAACTGTGCCCAATAGAAGGAGGCACAGAGGGTGACTAGGTCATAGAAAGGTAGCTACCACTCACTGCAGGAACTTCCTGCCAACACTGGTCAGAAGAATCTGTTCAGTTCACAGACTGCTATGTTTCTTAGTTGACTTTGGCATTCAGTCTTTGTTTTAATGGATTCAAGTACCAAGTAAGTATTAGAATTAAATTTCCTGTCATGGGTAGAAGGGGTCCTCTGTGATCAGAGCTGGAGTTTTATTTCAGTGCTGATTATCAACTGAAAGTGCCTTTCGTCACATTCTGCTGCTCTCAGGAGGAGCAAAGCCCCATCAGCTTAGCGTTAGGAAGCACAATTCCAGTCTGGAAGCAGTCCCGGGGGTACTCACCAATAGGACAAGTTCTCTCTCAAACAAAATGTTCATAGCTTCAAGTACACAGACTGTGTTCCCAAGAGGTGAGTGCCCAGTTCCTGGGACACCTCCTTCAGCAAAGTCCTTCCGCAGCCTAATGTTCACCTTCCCACTGGGAAGACATGCAAGTCCTGACCAGACAGAAAATGGGGGGAGGAGAGACAGCAGCGCCAGGGGAGGTAGATGCAGCCAGTGTCCACTTTAAAGATGACTGTTGCTTTAAATGATTTAAATAATTGAAAAATTACGACATGCCATTTAGTACTGTCCCACAATTCCAGAAGAAAGTGAACGTGTATATTGTACTTAGGAATCTTAGTTCAGAATACTAAGGTGCAAGAAAGCCACCCTTGTGTCCCCCACCCCAAGTCAGATTTGATCTGCTGGAGCTCTATTCTCAGTTTGGAGGGAAATTAGATCTTAGGAATGTGGGGGCTGCTCTGGGGGTCTCATTAATTGAGCACATTCAAGAAAGAGCCTTAGAGCTTCCTGCTGACTGACAGCCAGTGGTCTGCTCGGGTCTGGCTCCCCTGTGGCTGAGGCAGTGTCTGAACTGTACCCAGTGCTGGCAGGCAGGTACCTGGGCTGCTGCAGACAGCCAGGACCTGAGGGGAAGAGGGAGGAGAAAGAAATTCTCTTCCCTCCCAGACACTGACACTCCCCCACTTCTGTTTTTCTCAGCCTAGATTCCCCACTTCTGTAACCTGGTTCTGTCCCCATTTTGGACTCAGTGGGTCTTTTGTTACTTGGAAAATTCTGCTTTTGTCCTTAAACAGAAGTCACCAGAAACACCCTGAGGCAAGGAAGCACAAAGGCTTGGCAAACTGGGAGTGGGAAGAATACTTCTCATTTCTTCCAGGCTTCTACACCAATTGGAAACAAGGCAATTATTATCACAATAGATTCTCCTGCCAGGAATACTTATCCTGTCTTTTTACATACAAGGGAACAAAACTGAACAATTTACTATAATAGGATTATAAAAATCAGAGCACAAAATAACATAATGGGGCTACTAGGTTTGCACTTTCCCACTCAGTTTAAAGAATGGTCCTCCCAGAGTCTCAGTTGTAAACCTGCTAAATTCACTGGTTTTTTGAAATTAGTAAAGTTTGATTTTTGCACTGCATTAGAAACCCAGAAATAAAAACAATCGTATCAAATAAACATCCTGACCCTTTCTTCACTACCCTATGAATCAACCTGTACTTCATTGTATTTTTAGTTTGGCAAGTATTTCCATAAAAAATAGAAAGTCTAGTTTTTTTTCATATTGGAGAGAAAAGGTTTCTCTGATATTCTTACAGTGATAATCAGAAAAGGAGAACTGGCCTACTGTGCTCTTTAGATAAATCAAGAATGGATATCTAGGGGCTGTGGATTTAGCTCACCAGCACAGCACCTGCCTGGCAAGCTCAAGGTCATGAGTTTGATTCCCAGTACCGGTAAAGAAAAAAAAAAAAAAAATGGATATCTACTTGAAATAAAGATTCCTCAGAGAAATTACAACTAGAGTGAAATGCCTGGCATGAAAATTACCTAATTAACTTTATTACCAGCCTCATTTTCCCTGTGGGACCCAAATGCACGAAGGAAGGGAGCCCAAGTATTTTATCAGTGATGGCTTCAAGTTTTGGTTTAGAAATTTACTTGAAGACTAGGTGGCCCTTCAGCAGTTGCCAGGAGGTCAGTGGCCATTGCCGAGTGGAGTTGGCATTGGAAGTCACTGCATCTGAGTAGGTCTACCCGCACAGCCCTGGGGAAGAGTCAGATAGTGGGTCTTAGTTCCAAGGGTACACTTTTCCTGATATAGGAAAAATAAATACAACATTTTAAAGAATGTCAGTTCTGTGAGAGGGTTCTGTTGCTATTTATTTTTCTAAATTGGTCACAGCTTGATAGCAAGGAATCCAGATCTCTTTTCAGTGCCCTTTAAAATTAGATTCAACCTTATAAACAGCTTTCCCAATGTGTTTCAACTGCAAGGATGACTTGGTTCATAACAAGCAGATTTATCTTTACTTTTCTCACAAAGTTTGACTTATTAATACTCCAAAGGAATGTTTGTGGTTGCAGGTCTTAAAATGACAATGAAACATTCATTTCCCAGAGACTAAGTCTGTTTGAGATCTATAACATATGACGTACTCATTGATTCCAGTTACCAATATGAAGAGGGCAGTAACTCCTGGTCACCACCAGTAGCACCCTCTCTGACCATGGTGGGTGGCGCTGTGGCCTGAGAGGTTAGCATCAGGAAACTCCTAGTCCCACTGCCAGCATTAGAATAAGCTCCTTTAAAAAGACAATAAGCAATAAACACGATTAGTATGGATTTTACTGCCAAGAAATTGGGTACAATCATAATTATATATCTGAGGCTAAGAGCTAGTATCACATTTTGCATAGATCTCAAGATTGATCCACAGCCCTTTAAAATCCAGTGATGTGTTTAGCCCACAGTGATATGTCATCAGCTGTAGGAGGTGGCAGCTGTTTGCTGTTGCCTATGAGGGGTACAGAGGGAAGACCTGCTTTGGAAGCTAGAATCATCCCACCAATGACATATTCTTTCAGCATACTGAGTGGTAGCCAGAAAACCTACAAACAGATCACTCATTTCTCTGTCTCCTGCTTCCATTGCTCCCTCCCCAAAGATCCAACTGTGAGTTCTGTTAGTATCACCTTCACGCCATGTCTGCCACCACTAGCAGCAGAGTTGTCTATGAACTTTCATAAGGCTGAAATTTTAAAGAAGCAATAGAGTGGTGGAAGTCTAAAAATACCCAATAGAGACTTTACATAGATATGTCCTAGTGCATCACTGTCTGTACAGTCATTTGGGGTTTTCTTGTGCTACACGGGGGCCTCCCTGGATACCACATCCCTGAGTTGACTGACCATGTCACTGACCATGTCACATCGTTAGTCTAAGCCACACATTTTGCTGTAACAGAAAAAGGCATCATCCCTGTGCTCAGGGAGGTAGGTCATAATTGAGAAAATGTTTACAAGCAAGCGCCTCAAAGTTATAAGATGAAAGCAGTGACACTCAGTAGCTCCTGGTAGCCCTTGATTGTCCTAGTATCTAGCTTGGTGCCTGGCACATGGGATGGATTTCATAAATGTTTTGAAAGTAGCACAGATAGAGGGAGAAAAAGGAGTAAGAAAATAGAAAAGACAAATATGTGAGGGGAAATAACTGAGTATATCATCCCACAGGGGGAAATATGCCTTGTTCTCTGTCAGTCTTTTGGGGCCATGTGAGTCCACCTTCCTACAGTACATTTCAGTTTTCGTACTTCCTGTACAAGCTTTCATGTTCTGAACCAGAATCCTATTTTCAGGAGATGAGATGTATGACAGCCATACTGTATGGGAAGTCACAAGTAGCAAGATCTCCCTTCTTTGGTTTTCAGTGGACATGTGTTGTGACCATTTCAGATCAGTCCTGTGAGTTACTGTCTGGTCACCAAGTATATGGGAACATAGGATCTGTGCCTAGATGAGTCAGCACATTAGATTACTTGAAAAACTGTTATTTAAATGTAAGCCTTTTCTCCTTTCCAATTTTGGTCATTCAGAATGTCATATCCAAAAATCAAGGCACAGCAAATTATCTGAATAATTCATGCCAGAATTACCCAAACATTTTCCTTCTCTTCAATACTGGTAATTCAGGACCAGGCAATTGAAGTGTTTGGAAATGAATGAATTGGTCTTATATTATGCCAATAAATGTCCCAGTCAGTATTTTACTTGGTGTAGATTCAGCTGTAATCAAGCTACGCTCTGTCCTGCAGAAACACAGTACTTCTGGGGAGAACTTGGTACCCCCGGCACTAAAGCAGAAATGTCCCATCAAAGTCAGAACTATACAGTATCCTTTCTAGGCTACACCCCAAGCTTGTTTTCAGTTTCTATTTCACTTAGTTTTTATCAAGATAATGTAAGTACATGTAGCAGTAACACAAGCATTCTGGGAGCTAGCTGTGCTCCATGCCTAAAGCATTCATTCCCTGTTCCTACTTCTCTGAATCAAGACTTGCTTTGCGTCCAGGTGTTTCCTCTAGTGTTATCTCTAAATACTTGTTCATACAGATTCTCAGTTTCTAATATTATCCGTATCATCTGTTGTCATCCTGCTGCATTTAAAACATACAAGAGAACATTTCAGATGCTTTGCATATATTGCTATTTTAATCTTCACAATGACATATGTGGCAGATACTATTATTATCCAAATTTTGTATATTGGAAACAGACATAGATGACTATGTATCTTGCCCAAGATTACACAGTAATGTTATAATTGTGGAGCCAGGATTTGAATTTGATACTTGATTAGTCTGGCACCAAAGTTTATATTCCGAACAGTGAACCAAATTTGTCTACTTCTATTTCTCAAATTCTATTTTAGCATTCCTACACTGTCTCTGTCTCTGTCTCTTTCTCTTTCCTTTCCTTCTCTGTCTCTGTCTCTCTCTCTGTCTCTGTCTCTGTCTCTGTCTCTCTCTCTCTCTCTCTCTCTCTCTCTCTCTGTCTGTCTCTCTCTCTGTCACAAACACACACATGCACACACACACCCTACTTTTACCGCTTCCCTCACTGATACATCAGTATATATATAGAGAGAGTTCATACTTTGGAGTTAAATCAGTACTCAGTGGTTTGTTTTTTTTTTAAGTCCATGTTTGCAGTACATAAGGATCACATCCTCATGGGAAGTGGTGCACACACATAACACATCCTAATTCTCTTTTTAGCCCTTTCCCTTCCCTCCCTGCCCTGCTCCACCCATCTCTTGGTCCCCTCCCCCACTTGTAAAAGATCTATCTCCCTATTTCCTGTGACCTTTTCTTTTGCTCTTTATATTTGGGTTTCTCATATAAGGGAAACCGTGTGATATTTCAATTTGCATATGTAGCTTATTTCACTTAACATTATGGCCTCAGAAGCAGTTAATCTGGAAGATAAAATAGGTAAAACTCTTGAAGACATAGGCAGAGGGAAGGACTTTCTGAACAGAACTTTATGTTTGTTATGGCTATGTAAATCCCAAGACAAACCCATGTGATATGCTATATTATATTTTCTTCCTCATAAAACTTTGTTTCCCTCAAAAAATAATTATTTTGATCTCAGTTTGCAGTTCATTTCTAAGCACTTTGCTTAAGAGAAAACCGTCTTTCAATGCATCCCTACAACTCACTTGTCTCTGTTTCCTGTCCTGCCCCAGCATGCACTATGCCTGGCCATTGTGCTGAAATCCCTTCTCTACTGTCCTGGGAGCCCCTCTTGCTCCTCTCCTGTAGGCCCTATGCACTGGACACCTGTTATTTTTTTTCAGGTTTGGTAAACATGCCTTCCCTGAAAACATCTTCAGTCTTGTGAATTATTAGGCATATTTGGCTGGATATAGAATATATATATCCAGTTATATAACTTTGTAGAACTGTTTCTCTTCAGTTCCAGAACACATTGCTTCACTGTTTTAGCTTCCACTGTGTCTGTTGAGAAACCTCATTTCTCTCTGACACTGATCCCTAAGACACTTGCGATTTCTCTTCATCCCCAGTGTTCTGATTTCTTGGTGCTGTGCTGTGATGTGGGTCTGGCTTCATTGCTCAGCTGTGGGCACACAGTAGGCTTTTATAATCTGGAACTCTATATGCTTCTGTTCTGGAAAATGTCTTATATAATTTATTTCAAAATATTTCTCTGCCCCAATTTCTCTGTTACTCATTCTGGAAATTCCTCTATTCTAATGTTGGACACACAAGCCTGATCCTTAGATTTTCTAACTAGGCTTCCCTCCTTATCCATAATTTTGCTTTTTCTAATTTTACTTTCTAGGGTATTTACTGAAATTTACCTTCCAATTCTGTTATTGTTTTCTTTTTATTTCTACAATAATTATGTTAATTTTCAGTAGCACTTCATTGATTTTTTTTTCTTGGTTACTTTTTTAATAGCATTATTTATGCAAATATTATTTTATCCTTTTTTCAATAATGACTATAGTGTACACATGCTTTTCTTCTTTTTTTTTCCATGTAACATGTTGGCCGTCTCTGTTAGTACATTGAAAGAGAGCTGCTTCTTTCTTTCACACCTTGACTGTCACCTTCTGAAGTACACGTATTCCTCATTCTTCCATCTTGAAGTACAAATCCATTTGTTGGTCTCTCTGACTGAAAACCTAGGCTTGTTCTTTTCCTCCGGTTAAATTAGTCCAAATGTCTATCCGTCTTCCCATTTACAAAATACTCTTTGTCATCTTGTCTGGTATCTTCTCTCCCACTCACCTCATTCATATAGGCTTACCCCCTTTTAAAACATATATACTGTCACGTTTGTGTTATTTTACAAGTACAGTGATAAATGTGTATTCAATTCATCATGCACAATTGGAAGTCTTTAGAATATCTTTTCACCAATTAGGTTTTCCTTTTTGTTTGTTCCCTTTCCTTCTCTTGCTCATTGACAACTGTGAAATTTCAGTCAGAGGAATAAATAGAAATATGAATTAAAACTTTTGTATACTGATGGTGATTAAGTATTGATCAGAACACTGACAGTAGCCTACATGGTCTTGATGAGTGTATTAGTCTGTTTTGCATTATTATAACAGAATACCTGAAGTCAGTAAGCTGATTTTCTTAAAAACATTTGCTTTGATTCACGCTCTAGGTGTTCAAAGTCTAGGGCCAACATCCGGTGATGTTGATTACTTTCTTGGCCAAGGCAGTAGTGGGCATCACAGTGTGAGTCAGGGAGCACACAGCATGTGTCCTGTGGTCTCTGTCCCTTCTGAAGAGCCACCTGGACTCAATAGTGAGAGCTCCACCTTGTGGACTTTATCCAGTCCTAATGGCCTCCTGAAGCCCCACCTCTGAGCACCATAGTTCAATTAAATTTCCACCCTCCTAATCCCACACAGTGAGATTAAGTTTCAACATGTGCACCCTTGAAGACTGTCAAACCACATCCAGGCCATAATGGTGAGCAGGCAGATTTTGAGGCCATAAACCAGACTTGGGATTCTCCCATATCCAAGTGTATCCTGGTGTTACTGAGAAGTACGCCAGAAGCAGTTTGGTTTTCCTTGTACAGCAGCACAAAATAAGTTAGTACGTAGGCTTATTCACCTTCAGGAGATAGCTCCTTTTTGGAAGTGTTAAAATTCAAAATGGGACCAGCATCTCATGAAAATGAACACACCCGTCTAGAGGAAAATTCACTGTAAAAAGCAATGCTTTTCCGTGATTTTTCATCTGTGTTCTATCCACAGACTGACTAAGTGTTGAGTATTGAAAAGAAAACAGCACCATCATTCCCTAGTTTCTTTGTCATGTATAGATTTACCTATTTGTGGTCTTTTAACGCACTATTTACTGAAATGCAGGCCCAAACAAAAAGCATTCTTCAAACTGTTAAGATTCAAGGTTATTAGGAAATAAAAAGACCACTGATGATTCCATATAAATGAATATTAAAATATTTGCTTCCATTTGACCCCCTTCCTGGCACTGTACAACCTGTCTGTTTGATAAACCCCCCTTAGCTATAGAATGTTTCGATTCCAATCAATATGGTTGAGAAATTACTTCTGGAGTAGAACTCAAATTTGTTGAGTAAGTATGTATTATTATGTGACTATTGCTTTTATTGTGTAAAGAGTGATTTATATGAAAAGAGAATAATTTGCTTTTTGGAGTGAAATATTCAGTGTGGCTTGTGTGTGTATAATTTCCATTTTTGGTGAGCTATTTCGTGACACTGTAACTTGACCGTGGTTTTCCCTAATTTTGGCCTGTGTTTTCTCTTCTACTTAGGCATAATGACATCAATAGAAAAATGAAGAAACCCTACAGCATAAAGCACATTGCTGAGCCACAGTCAAAAGAACTGTTTTTGTAAATCACTTTGTAATATCTCTCACTGATGCCCTTGGACACCATTGGAAATTACTGGACTATCTTCTGTGGAAGCAAAATGATGAAAATAATGCCTCACCAGCAGATGAACAGAGTATCAGGATGCCTTAAATTTATAGGGTTAGACTAGATGATACGTTTTGGGGTGATATTTGTATGTATAACTTGTTTTTTTAAAGGTGCTGTTTAAAAGCATGGTTGGGCAAATGTATGTTTGATTCAACCTACTCACCAGACCTTCCCCAATCCACTGACACTATATTGTATTTCATGGATTGCATGGTATTTGCTAATGTTGGTTCAACTTCTTTAACTCAGCTCCTCAGTGAGACCAGGTCAGTGGTATTGTTTTCTGTCAAGTGTTTTTTCTGTCATTTCTACTTTTTGTATAAAAGAAATAAAACAATGTTAATAGCCACCTATAAGCTTGGGGCGCATACTTTCTAATAAATCTGTGATATTCTGATTTCTAAGGGACTTTGAAGGTATTTTGATAGCCGATGTTTGATTTTAAGAACCAACTGCCCTATTTAGTTGTTTCCCGTAGGGGTCAAGTAAAACATTCTAAATTTCATTGAGTACTAAAGATCATACAAGTATAAAGTAAGCCAGTCCTCTGCTTTCTCAGATCTCACCGTTGACATGGGAAAACACTAATGACAGCTAAGATTTAGTCCTCTGTGGGTAACTTTTTTTATCCAGCTCTAACATTAGGAGGCTTGTCTGAGCCCTCTGGAGACCGTGTGGCACCCCCTCCATGACAGCCTCATTGTTGATACAGCTCTTTCAGGCCCTGTAAACAGCTGAGTTCCAGAAGGTTTCATCTTATCATTATTGCTGTTGAAACTTCAAGAGTTTTATTTTCAAAGTGTTGGCATGGTCCATAAGAGGCCTGTCAAGTTGCAGTTTGAAAATAGAATATATTCTGAGCGGTAGGAGGGAGCACTGTGTTCGATTACAGTGACTAGCAATATTACTGCAATAATACTTTTTATTTTAAGAGCAGAATATGTTTATTGGGAGAAAGAAAGCTTCTGTCAGAGAGACTGAAGCAGTCACAGTTGGGTTGCCAAGGCCCCTGCCGTTTCTAGGGATTTTTATTTATTTATTTTTTTTTTAATTTTAAAGAGAATGGTAAAAGAAAAAAAGAGTAGCAACATACCAACATCACAAACATAAATAAAACAAAGTAAGAACATTAAAAGTGATACAGGGCTTCAAAACAAAATGATAGGAATTAGCAGTGGTTGTTATATTACATACTGTTATCTTCAAATACGTTGCTCAGATTACCACATGTAATAATGGAAAATTGTTCAAACCATTAAAGAGAATAAAAAAATAATTATTAGATAAAATATTAGAGATAATACAGTTTCACTAGACAAGATGGAATTCTTATGGTAGTTCCATTGCATATTGTTGTCTTCAAATCAGTTGCTCATATTACCAGATATAAGTATGCAGAGTTGGTCAGAACATAAAAAATTTTAAGCATTAACTGTTCCTTTCAAGATACAACCAGACATCAGCAATACCGTTGTATGTGCCTTCCTTCTTTCTTTGTTCTTCTTTCCCTCATCCCAGTTCCTTTGAGCAGTTTCTTTCCCTGTCTTATCATCTTTTGTATGTTTTGAGTTTGCTTACTCTTTTAGGTTCCTACACCTGGGAGACAATGTGATGTTTATACATGTGGGTCCGATTTATTTCACTCATGAGTATGGTCTCTAGTTGCATCCATTTACCTACAAAAGTCTTGAGTTTATTTTTTATAGCTGAAAAATACTCCACTGTATAAAAATACCACATCTTTTTTATCCATTCTTCAGTTGGTGGGCATATGGGTTGTTTCCAAGATTTAGCTACAACAAATTGCACTGCTATAAACATGGCTGCATATATATCACTGTTGTATGATGTTTTTAATTCTTCTGGGAAAATGCCCAGAAGAGGAATATCTGGGTTAAGTGGGACTTCTAATCCTAGTTTTGTGAGGAATCTCAAAACTGATTTCCACAGTGGTTTCACCAATCGACACTCCCACCAACAGTGCAGTAGGGTTCCTTTTTCCCCACAGCCTCTCCAGCATTTGTTATTGGTTGATTCCCTGATGATAGCCATTCTTTCTGGTGTGAGATAGAATCTCAGTGTTCTTTTAATTTGCATTTCTCAAATGACTACTGATGTTGAACATTTTTTCATGTGTTTATTAGCCATTAGTATTTCTTCATCTGAGAAGTATGTATTCATCTTAGATGTCCATTTTTGGATTGGGCCTTTGAATTTGGGGGGCCTGATTTTTTTCAATTCTTTATGTGTTCTAGGTAGAAGTCCTTGTCTGAGGGGCAGTTGGCTAAAATTTTTTCCCAATTCATGGGTTTTCTTTTTACTCTGTTGGCGATTTCTTTTGATGTGCAAAGACTTTTCAATAAGATGAGATCCCAGTTGTTGATTCCTTGAAGTATTTCCTGAGCAGTATGCTTTTTGTTCATGAGATCTCTGCCTACCCGTATGTCTTTTTACTTACTTTTTCTTCCAATAGATGTAGTGTTTCTGTTTTAATATTTAGAACTTTGATCCATTTTGACTTTAATTTAGTGCATGATGAAAGACATGGGTCTAGTTTTAGTCTTTGGCATGTGGAAAGCCAGTTTTTCCAGCACCACTTATTAAAGAGGCTATCTTTCTTCCAGTGGACGTGTTTGGCCCCTTTGTCAAAGATAAGGTGGCCGAGTGTGTTTGTAGCTGTGTCTGCATCTTCTATTCTGTTCTATTGATCTTCAGGTCTGTTTTTGTGCCAGTACCATGCTGATTTTATTACAATAGCTTTGTAGTATAATTTCAAGTCAGGAATTGTGATGTTTCCTGCCTTTCCTTTGTTTTCCAGGATTACTTTTTCTATTCTAGACCTCTTCTGGGTCCAGATGAACTTTCGGAATGTTTTCTCTAGGTCTGTGAGATATACTAATGCTATTTTAACTGGGATTGCATTGAATCTGTACAACAATTTTGGGAATATGGCCCTTCCTATCCATGAGCAAGGAATATCTGTCCATTGTCTGATATCTTCTTTGATCTCTTTTTTCAGAGCACTGTAATTTTCACTGTATAGATCTTTTACTTCCTTTGTTAGATTGACTCCTAAGTATTTCATTTTTTTAGATGCTATTATGAAAAGTGTGGTTTTCCTAATTTCTCTCTCAGTCTGCTTGTTGTTTGTGTATAGGAATGCTATTGAGTGTTGACTTTGTATCCAGCTATGCTACTGAATTTGGTTATTAAAAATCCATAAGCTTTTTGGTGGAGTTTCGGGGGTCTTTTATGTAGAGTATCATGTCATTGGTGAATAATGATAATTCACTTTTTGCTTTCCTATCCTTATTCCTCTTATTTCTCTCCCCTTTCTAATTGCTCTAGCTAATATTTCCAGAACTATATTGAATAGGAGTGGCAACAGTGGACATCCTTGTCTTATACCTGATTTTAGAGTGAAAGCTTTCAATTTTTGACCATTTAATACAATGTTAGCTGTTGGTTCGTCATAGATGGCTTTGATCAGATTGAGGTAAACACCATCTATTCCTATTTTCTGTAGGGTTTTTATCATGTTGGACTTTATCAAAGGCTTTTTCTGCATCGATGAAGATGATCATGTGATTTTTGTCCTTGGCTCTGTTGACACGGTGTATTACATTAATTGATTTGCATACATCGAACCATCCCTGCATCCCTGGTATGAATCCCACTTGGTCATGGTGTGTAATCTTCTTGATGATTTGTTGTATTCCGTTTGCTAGTATTTTATTGAGAATTTTTGCATCTATATTCATTAGGGAGTTCAGCTTGTAGTTCTCTTTTTTGGTTTGGTATCAGGATAATACTTGCCTCCAGGAATGAGTTGGGGAGAATTCCTTCCCTTTCAGTTTCATTAAGGAGTTTGAGAAGAATTGGTGTTAAATCTTCCCTAAATTTCTTGTAGAATTCAGCTGTGAATCCATCAGGACCTGGGCTTTTCTTCATTGGCAAGTT